GAAAGAAAGAAAGAAAGAAAGAAAGAAAGAAAGAAAGAAAGAAAGAAGAAAGAAAGGAAAAGAAAGGGTAAGGAGGTGGGAGGGGTGATCTGGGAAGAATTAGATGAGTAGAATTTGAATACAATCAAAATACATTATACAAAATTCTCAAACTATTAATAAAACTGTTATATATTTAAAACATGTGACAAGTTGAAAAATGATAGACTCTAACTGATGAAAATATTACAACTATTAAAATTGAACATGAGCTGGATTCTGTGAGATTCTCAAATGGTTTGGATTTATGGTGAAATAAAAATTCCACATAACTTTCATTTTGAATAGAAGATTGAGACTTTATGGCCCGTTGTTGGGTCATAAAAGATTGTTGCCATGGTAACCCTTTTATCTCTGGATGGTGCTACTTTTTATGATTTTGCTTAGTTTTTTTTTTTCTTACTCTTTTAATGCCTACTTAGAATGTTTCTATATGAAGCATTTTTAATCTAATTTATAGTTAATAGTATAGAAACAAAGAAAAGACCTGTGTGTGTGTGTGTGTGTGTGTGTGTGTGTGTGTGTGTGTAAATATGAGTAAAGCTTTTAAAACTGGAAAGGAGAATAAGAGAGAGTAAAAATAGATGACAAGGGAGGGTGGGAGATGGGCGAAAAGATACCTGGGGTATGAAAGCAAAAGACACCCAGGGGAGAAGAGAATTAAGAATAGCAGTAGGGAAGTGAGTGGGAGGTGCACTACTTTGCTTTTTGTTCTTGTCTGTTTTGTTTATTAAGACAGGGTTTATCTGTGTAGCACTGGTTGTCCTGGACTTGCTTTGTAGACCAGGCTTGCCCTCAAACTCACAGAGATCCTCCTTCCTTCCTCTTCCTCCCGAGGGCTGGGGTTAAAGGACTGTGCTACCACCACCTGGCAGGAGGGAGATTACCAAAAACGCACTTTGAAAAATGCCATAATGATATCTGATAACTTGTGAGCTCATTTTTTAAGAGAGTTTTTAAATTTTCAGAATTGACTACATAAATTCATGTAAGCTCTGTGATAAATTTGACCTTCCAGATATTTGATCTTGGAGAAATGTATATGGTCACCTGCTCATATTATAAAATCCAGTCGCTACTTGTGATATAAAAGCCTACAGAGCAAATCACCAGTTTCTGTGGCTAACGCATGGCTCCAGTCACAGAGTGCGTTTTGATCTTGGGGCTGCCCTTGTGGCTTTTGGGGGGCAAATTTACTGAGCTCCCAACTCAGATTCCTGTGTGGCTCAGATGGCAGCTCCCGTGTCTCAGAGTAGATTGAATGGTATGACCAGGGGCTGCCAGTTTTTGTGACAAATGTGTGGAGTTTCTGGCCAAAACTAAAAGCTAGAAACTGCTTTGTTTTTAACGATTTTTTTTTGGAAGTCTCTGCTGCCAAATGATCCCAAGGACCTGCTGCTTGCTAAGCATATGCCCTACCTGTGAGCTACAGCCCAGCTCTAACTTTCTTGTGTTTATCAGGGTGGCGTTAACAAAAGCATCTTTCCCTGTTTTGCTCATGTTTATCTGCTTGTAGCAAACAACTGACCCTTTTTATTTGGCTTTACCGGGTCTTGACTTTTAAAATACATGTTCCTGCTGGGCAGCGGTGGCCTTTAATGTCAGCACTAGGGAGGCTGAGGCAGGAGGCTCTCTGTGAGTTCCGGGACAGCCAGGGCTACCCGGAAAACCAAACCAAAACAACAACAACAATGCATTCCTGGCAGGGCATGCAGGTCACACCTGCAACCCCAGCAGTCTGAAGGCCCCAGGGTGAGGAGACCTTGCCTTGAAAAGAGAAAAATGTCCATTTCTGGAGCAGTCTGGGAGGTAAATCTGGTTAATCAAATGATGCCTAAGGTACTCTGAGCCAGCAAACGGAAGGCAAGCTGTGCCCTCAGGATCACGGCGTCTCCGTGAGTCATTGTCGTGTTCTCTCCAGGTACAGCTTCCAATGCCCTGAGACAGCCTTATATCTGGCTGACCATCATCCTGACCGTTGCGGTGTGCTTGTTGCCTGTGGTTGCCGTCCGTTTCTTGTCAATGACCATTTGGCCGTCAGAAAGTGATAAGGTACATAAAGATCCAGACCCACCCTCCTCCTATTCCAGTGTCTCTTCCTGGAGTCCAAGCGTTTCCCAATGCTACCTTTCCCACGGAAAGTGCATGGAGAGGCTGATAAGAGTCGTGTTGTTTTACTGTTCCTCTTTAATTTCGTCGTGAAGGATCGGGAACCCTTCGGAGACTTGCCCACCCTGAGTAGCATGTTTAGTTCTCTTCAGTTTTACAATTATGTTAAAATTTTGCCACGCAAATGGGTTGGGCTTTTTCTCCTTGTTGTTTAAAGCAAAATATTGTCTCCTCTAATGCAATCAACGTCTCAAAAATAATGTGTCATCTTCCCTGGAATAATGGTTAGCAGACTTTATTAGCAGGCCCAGAAGTTGAGCAATTTAATATTGCTTTTTTTTCTGTCACTCTCCTGAAGGGAATGTCTTCATTATTCTGACATCACATCTGACAGAGCAAAAGAGGAGACTCCCCTCCTTTCACTCAGGATCCTGGGAACTTTTAATGTGCACTTTTCTCAGCTCTCCTTTGTCAGGATTAGGTTGCATGCTTTGCTGAACTAACACCCAGCAAGGAAAAAAGCTCCATGTCTTACAAAGGATGTACCCTTCAGTGCCCAGGAGGACACCATGTGACGGTTGACAGGGTTTGGTAAACAAGGGCCTCAGCTGGTGCTTTGCAGTGTAAGTGTGAGGACTTGAGTTCGGGTTCCAGCACACATAAGCAACTTCACCTAGCAAGCACCCTGCACCTGACGAGGTGGAGACAGGAGGATTCCTGGGGCTTGCTGGCCAGCCAATGTAGCTGAAGCCCTGAGCACCAGAATTGGTTCCAGGAGAAATGCTGTCTCAAAAGTTAAGGTGGAGGTGATTGGGGAAGACATCAGACATCCATCTCTAACCTCCATAACTATGTATACACACATCCACAAGCACTTACACATGTGAAAACACAGAGAGAAGAGAGACAGACAGACAGATAGATGTGCATGTTTTAATGCAGGTAAACAGATCTGTAGCGGTTTGTCAACACATACCAGTCTGCCCTGGGACTGACAGCGTTAGCTTAGCGTCCTAGTTTGCTTTCTACTACTTTGATAAACGCCATGACCAAAAGCAATGTCGGGAAGCAAAGCACTGGCTTGTTCTCCATGGCTTGCCCAGCCAGCTCTCTCACACAACCCACGACTATTTATTCAGGGCTGGAATCCTCACAGGGGCTGGGCCCTCGCATAGGAACCATTAATCTAGAAAGGGCCTCTCACACACTTGCCTACAGGTCAGTCTGATGGAGGCATCTTCTTAATTAACGTTTCTTCTCAAATGACTCTAGTTTGGGTCAAGCTGACAGAAAACCACTACACTTACGAAAAGTGCAGGGCGTGGATTTCCCGGAACTAGCAATATAGACTAGGCTGACCTCCCAAGACACCTCCACGTTTTGAGTATAGGGATTAAATTTGGGGCCACCGTAGTTTTCCAAACTCTACCTACAGGATGTTGGAAACAGTCCCCGACCTCCCGGGCCCTCCACGTCCAGTTGGGCTACAAAGCGGGGAGCTTTGTTCACGCATAGGGGTGTTGAGCCTCTCAGTCGGGGCTAGCGTCTGTCCGGCTCATACTGGCCAGGCGTCCTGTGCACCTCAAACCTGTCTTTTCGTGGTTTCCTCTCCCTAGATCCAGAAGCACCGGAAGCGATTGAAGGCTGAAGAGCAGTGGAAACGGCGGCAGAATGTGTTCCGGAGGGGAGCATCCTCCAGGCGCTCGGCCTATGCCTTCTCGCACCAGAGGGGCTACGCGGACCTCATCTCCTCAGGCCGTAGCATCCGCAAGAAGCGCTCGCCCCTGGATGCCATCATTGCAGACGGCACGGCTGAGTACCGACGCACAGTGGAGAGCTGAGAAATGCCTTTTTTTTTTTTTTTTTTAATGAAAGACTCAGGACTTTTTTAAAAAAATAAATGGACAAACTGAATTTGTCACAGTGATACCAAGGACAATAGCCTTCATAATAAACTTCTAGGGTTGTGCTGTTAAGCAATGGCAAAGCCAAGAGACCACCTATTATTCAGCCGATTGTGTCTGCTGAGATTCAAAGGGAATTTTTTTTTTTTTTTTAATCCAGGCCCAATTGAGGACAGCAGAATCCAGAAAAGTCTCCATTTCAGCTCGAAGGATACTACGACACTATAAAATTACAATTACCATTTCCACGTGTCTACTTCACTATAAAATTACACTGTTCTATCCGTGGCCTCATGCATGAATTTCTCAGGTGCACACCCCCCCCCCCCCGCTTGTCACCTTTGTGAGTGTAGTAACAAAAGATTCGTAATTTTTATCACCTGACACAAGTGGTTTAGTGACCTTTTCAGAGCTGGTATTCGACTCCCTGTTCCTTTCTACCAGCCTAGAAAGTTTGAAACAAGTCTTCTAGATTGAATGATTAAGTACAAAGTTTCCTTCTGGTTTTGATTTGCTACCAGGTTAAATAATGCATTACATATTTTTGCCATTTCATATTTTAGCAATTCCCTGTACTACCAAGTGGCTTGACGCCCAACTTTAATTAAAGAAAAAAAGATTTTTAAAAGCTGAGGACATTATCAACTAGTATTAAGTTCCATCATGATAAAAGAAATGGATTATGGCGTTTGTGATGATGGAATGTATATTTCAGAAATACTAGATGAAAGGGATTTGAATGTTTTCAACACACAGCGCTAACTGTCTGAAGAGACGGACAAACCCTGATATCATCATTATACAACATACACGTGCAGGGAAAAGCCCTGTGTAGCCCGGCGGTAAAGCCGGGGGCCTTAAATCCCATCATACAAAGAAAGAAGAGACATCGCACGGTATTCCATGAACACGCACAATTATGGATCACTTCAAGTTAACTAGAAAAGTACAGGACAGTGCCTACTAGAAATTTCATTGTGGTTTCCTTTGGAAGACAACACAACTTAGCTCTTCCGAGCCCCTGGATGCATTGAGGGGCAGAGACAAGGGTCTTGACTACTAAGTTACGGGAAGGTTGCTACCACTGCCCAGAACACGTGAGCACAACATATGCAAAGTCCACAAGGGGTACCCCCCTCTCCTGCTCAGCAGAGAACAGTTTAAACAAGCTAAAGGCCCACAGGGCATCAGTGATACATTCGGAATAGTTTGCAGAGTTGTCTGTTGAAAAAAAGCTGTGTCCCCTTCCTACAAGTTATTTTATAGGAGTCTCTTAGGAGTCTCACTCTGGCATCTGTCTTATGTCTAAGACAAAAGAACGGTATTTTTTATCTTGTAAAAACATTAGGTGATTAAGAAAAATATCCTTGAAAAGGTAACTTATTCCCCACCTATATGCCCCCAGGGACTCTTCTCATTTTATATCTTTCACATTTTAGATCTTCCTACTCCAGGGAAAATGTAGATGGGTTGCAGTGGGTAACTTTTTTCCCTTGCAAATGTTTATATCCGTCTGTGAATTCCCCAGAAGATATTGTGTGTGTAGTTCATCGTCTACACACAGACAGGAAAAGGTAATTGTAATTTTATAATGCATTGTCTGGGTATGATGAAAGAATGTATGCCTATCCTATGGAGGTAAATTTCTGAAAGTTTACAACTTTACCTTGTAAATAAAAACAATTGTATGTTTTTCTTTTTTTTATGGAAAATTCAGCTTGTGTAATTTTGTCAGTTTCACTTTCATTTTTTGAATGGTGGGAAAGGTTGACAATGCAAATGTGTCAAAGACCTACACTGTTGGGTGCAATATTAATAATTTAAAAGTGCAAATCATAAATTATTTCTATATGCTGTAAATCTGAGATTTAATGTATATTTTTGTTTAAAAAATAAATGCTTTAGTAAAATATTGGGGAAGTTATGATTTTATATATGTATATTTATGTATGCATTTTGTGGTTATTTATTTGCAGTGCTAGGGATTGAACCCAGGGCCTCTTGTATGCTAGGCAAATGCTCTCCTCTGAGCTGCACTTTCTAAGTTGGGTGTTTGTTGTTGTTGGTGTGTGTGTATGTATGCCTTGTGTGTACCAGTGCCTGCAGAGGCCAGAAAAAGCTGTCAGATCCTTTGGGGCTGTAGTTATAGAGGTTATGAGTTGCCTGCTGTGAGTGCTGGAAACTTAGCTCAGGTCCGATGGAAGAACAGCCAGTGCTCTTGATGGCTGAGCTATCTCTTTACCCCCTAAGTTTTGTTTGCTGCCTTTGTAAGACAGGCTCTCATCTATCCTGGGCTGCTAAGCTCCCTGTATAGTTAAGGATGACCTTCAGCTTCTGGGCCTACTGTGTCCACCTCCCAGTGCTGATGTTGCCAGCCTTTCTGCTTTCATTCAGTTTTGGGGATTAGGGTTCATGCTTCATGGATACGGGTAAAGCACTTTGTTACAAACCTTGATTTTTTTTTTTTTTTTTTTTAGGGGTTGGAGCTTTTTTGCCACTGCTGTTTGTTTTTGGTTTTGCTTTGCTTTTATATGTAGAGTACATAGCAGAAGAATCTAGTCCTGCCATGGTTCCTGAAAAATTTAGGGCTCCTCTGTAGATGAGGAATAATGTTAGAGACGGTACAAACTGCAAGAGAAGAAGGAATGGCTTTGATGGTGATGGTAAGACAGAGTCTGCCCCGGACCCCTGTGTCCCTCAGCTCCTTGGAAGGAGAAAAAGAGAAAGGAAATGTGCTCGGGTATTCTGGAAATGCGTCTGAATAGCTGGCAGAAACATGGGCAAATGGGAATGAGTGCGGAAGCTCACGGGAGGAGGAGCAGGAGTCCATGTCTGAGCTGGTGCAAGGATTAAGTGCGATGACCTGGGTAGCGGACAGGAAGTGGGCCCTAGAAGCAAGGGATGGTGTGCCTCGCCAGCAGAGCGTGGTTACGTCAGGAAGGAGATCCTCTGAGCGAGGACCTCTTTGGAAGGCATGATTAGCAGTGGGTGACGAGAGGGTGTCGTCAGGCTGTGGGTGTGTGTGTGGGGGAGGGACAGGTATTAGCTTCCTCGGTGGACAAAGAATGAGAAGATCCTGAGCAGCCTGCGAAACTGAAGGCATGCAAAGCGCTACTGCGTTAGCGTTGGCTCAGGGTCATTTTTAACCCAACAGCGCCATCTAGAGGGACCTAGCCACATCCTGTAGCAGATGCCGCTCGGGAATGACATCTAATGGAGATGAAATGTGATCACAAAAATGTTCCCTAATGGAATCCAAATAGGTTTCAAGAGGTGCTGCCTTCCTGTGACAGGAATGACGCTTAGGAAAACTGAAATAATGGTTTTCAAAACTTCTGTCAGAATCTGCTAGCAAGTTATGGCTGCAATACATTTTTTTTTCTTTTTTCTTTTGGTGCAGTTATAAAACAAAAAAAGCCTGTCAAGATATTGAAGTAAATTTCTGGGGGAATTGGAGGTTGAGATTCCTAAAGCAAAGCACTGAAGAAATACTTTCCTAGGGACCTAGAGCAATGGCTCAGTGGTTGAGAGCACTGGCTGCTCTTCCAGAGAACCCAGATCTCTCCGGCACAGGAACCAGCATCTGAATACATAGTGCACAGACTGTCCCCAACAAAATCCTGCCTCACACTCGATAGCATAGTCATGACACTAGGAGAAAGTGGAGAAGCTAGAATCCCCATCCTTCTGGGGACATGGAACGTCGCAGTGTTCCTGGGAAAGGCAGCTAGCTTCGGCTCAGCCAGTGCACTCTGAGATACTACGTACTTGACAGTATTAGAAACAGGAACCCCAGAAAACACAAACTAGTGTTCACAGCAGTCCAAGGGCAAAAACAACCCCAACCGTGCATCAGCAGGTGGATAAATCAACAGATATGGTGTGTGTGTGATGGAATGCGATCTGGCCACAAAAAGAATGAAATACAGCGTGAGTGAACCTTGATACACCTTAAGTGGAGGAAGCCACTGCCAGGCAGGGGCGGAAGAGAAAAAACAGAGAACACATGAGTAGGTGAAAGGGGGTCAACAAGGTTTTTATTCCTAAATGAGATTTGTTCTTTTAAAAATGTGTACGTGTATGCAATGTATTTTGATCATACCCATCCATCACTATTGCCTCCAACTCCCCCTGGTGCTCCCACCCTATCTCCCTCCCGGCTTCATGTCTTCTTTGTTGTTATCAGTAACTCCCCAGATCTAATTAGTGCTACCCAGACACCACATAGTGCAGGGAATGCGGCCATCTAGCTGGGGCAACCTGCAGCCAAATCTCCAAAGAAGAACGACTCTCTGCCTCCAGCAGCAGCCATCAACTGCCTGCTCCTCCAATAGGGCCAGGGTCTTGGGGACCTTTCCCCACCCATGCTGAAATTTAGCCTGGCTTAACCTTGTGCAATTAACCACAGCTGCTGCGAGTTGCTGCGCGCGGTGGCCACACGCTAGAGGACCTCTCCTTCTAAGGAATTTGTTTCTACAATTGTGTCGTGAGGCTTACAGATGATTAGGGTCTGCAGGCTGCCCATGGAAATTCTAGCCGGGGACTGACACTGAAAGCCTGGATCTGAAAGCTGGACACGGAATTATTTGCTCTTGGTGGACTTCAAGGGACAGATCTAAATATCTTTCAAAGCTAAATGTCTTTCAAGACTTATTTGACCATGAGGATGAAATACAATTAACCACCAAAATGGCTACGCAGGGTTCTTTGGGGGTAACTAAATGTTTGGGAATTTAAATTTACCTGTAATAAATGTAATAAATGAAAAATCAGGGCTGAAATTATAGCTCAGTTGGCAGAATGCTTGCCTAACTTGCATAAAGCCCTGGGCTCTGACCCTAGCCCTGGAATGAAATGTAATATGGCCAGGTATGATGGCACGCACCTTTAATTGCAGCTGAGGCAGATAGATCTCTGTGAGTTAGAGGCCAGCCTGGTCTACATAGAAAGTTCTAGGCCAGCCAGTGCTACATAGCGAGACTTTGTCTCAAAACAAACAAACAAACAAACAAACACCCAGTTCTGGTATCTGTAATATCAGCACTCAGGTGGTAGAGGCAGGAGGACTGAAAGTTCAAGGTCCTCTTTAGCCACATAGCAGGTTCAAGACCAACCTAGGCCACATGAACCCCCAGATAGATAGATAGATAGATAGATAGATAGATAGATAGATAGATAGA